GAAACAGACAGAGACAGACAGAAACAGACAGACAGACAGACAGAAACAGACAGACAGACAGACAGACAGACAGAGACAGACAGACAGAGACAGACAGAAACAGACAGAGACAGACAGACACACAGACAGAGACAGACAGACAGACAGACAGACAGACAGACAGACAGACAGACAGACAGACAGAGACAGACAGAAACACAGAGACAGACAGAAACACACAGAGACAGACAGACACAGAGACAGACAGACAGACAGACAGAAACAGAGACAGACAGAAACACAGAGACAGACAGAAACACACAGAGACAGACAGAAACACACAGAGACAGACAGAAACACACAGAGACAGACAGAAACACACAGAGACAGACAGAAACACACAGAGACAGACAGAAACACACAGAGACAGACAGAAACACACAGAGACAGACAGAAACACACAGAGACAGACAGAAACAGACAGAGACAGACAGAACCACACAGAGACAGACAGAAACAGACAGAGACAGACAGAAACACACAGAGACAGACAGAAACACACAGAGACAGACAGAAACACACAGAGACAGACAGAAACACACAGAGACAGACACAAACACACAGAGACAGACAGAAACAGACAGAGACAGACAGAAACACACAGAGACAGACAGAAACACACACAGAGACAGACAGAAACAGACAGAGACAGACAGAAACACACAGAGACAGACAGAAACACACAGAGACAGACAGAAACACACAGAGACGGACAGAAACAGACAGAGACAGACAGAAACACACAGAGACAGACAGAAACACACAGAGACAGACAGAAACACACAGAGACAGACAGAAACACACAGAGACAGACAGAAACACACAGAGACAGACATAAACACACAGAGACAGACAGACACACAGACAGAGACAGACAGAAACAGACAGAGACAGACCGAAACACACAGAGACAGACAGAAACACAGACAGAGACAGACAGAAACACACAGAGACAGACAGAAACACACAGAGACAGACAGAAACAGACAGAGACAGACAGAAACACACAGAGACAGACAGAAACACACAGAGACAGACAGAAACACACAGAGACAGACAGAAACACACAGAGACAGACAGAAACACAGAGACAGACAGAAACACACAGAGACAGACAGAAGACAGACAGAGACAGACAGACAACAGAGACAGAGACAGACAGAACACACAGAGACAGAGACAGACAGAAACACACAGAGACAGACAGAAACACACAGACAGACAGACAGACAACACAGACAGAGACAGACAGAAACAGACAGAGACAGACAGAAACACACACAGAGACAGACAGAAACAGACAGAGACAGACAGAAACACACAGAGACAGACAGAAACACACAGACAGAGACAGAAACACACAGAGACAGACAGAAACACACAGAGACAGACAGAAACACACAGAGACAGACAGAAACACACAGAGACAGACAGAAACACACAGAGACAGACAGAAACACACAGAGACAGACAGAAACACACAGAGACAGACAGAAACACACAGAGACGGACAGAAACAGACAGACAGAATCAGAGAGACGGACATAAATAGACGGTCAGGCACTTGCAGCTCCTGCCTTGAGCGCCCCGCAGTGGCCTTGCAGGAAGGAGTTGGGCCGCTCTGCTACCATTGACGAGCTGAATAGCTTCATTTTGGCAGCCTGGGGACTTGGGAGATCTTGGGAGATCAATCTCGCCAGATACACCTGACAACAGGGCACTTCCCAAGCAACACTTGGCGCTTTCATGCGCTTTCACAAAGGGTCTCACAGTCAACAGTGCCTGACTTCCCACCAAGCGCGGAAATCTGGACGAATGGACTAGCCCCGAAAATGGATGGCGCTCAAGCGGGTGACCGATGCCCAACCACTGACGCAAGCGCTTCGTCAGTGAGTAGGAGGGCGTAGGGGTTGTTAAGCAGCTTTTCGCGTGAGCCTAAGCGAAACAGCTTCTCGCTACGTCTGGAGTTTTTGTGGAGCGACAGGGACAGACAGACAGCAAGACAGAGCCAACAGACACAGACAGACAGACTAGACCAGACCAGACCCAACAGACAGACATAGAAGCACAGAGAGGCAGAGAGACAGAGACACAGAGACACAGCGAGACAGAGAGACAGAGAGACAAAGACACACAGACCAACAGACACATAGTATATATCGTTCGGGGTCTTTAACCGTTTTGCCGGATTCCTTGTTGTGGGATGGCTGATCCCTGGTGAACCTAGCTCCGTAGATCGATTGAAAGCTATGGTGTTCCATGGTGTTCCATGGTGTTCCATTGAACCTGCACAAGGTTCGAGTTTTTGCTCGGGAAAAACCTAGTTTGGGAAGCTATGCTTTTGTTGGCACCACCCATCCGAAAATTGCAGCATGTCCTTGCTGGCATCCCCAGACCGCCAATGTTCGCAGACAATCAGCAAGATCCTGGAATCTGTCCGTGACCAAAGTCGAGTAAAGTTACAGGACAGCATGCTGGAAATCCTGGTTTTGGGGTGCGCATTTGACGTAGCTGGTGTTTCTGAAGGGGTCCTTTTCCCTTCTTTTCCACAAGGCAAAGGGCTTCCTGACCTCCCATAACACCCCGAAGACTCCCAGTGGCGTCCGAGGCCTTCAAGCGAGGCCTCCAGGATTTGAACTGCTACAATGTCCACGACAGGCCTGCGGGTGTTGTGCCAAGTTGATATGGGACCCGTCCCTAGGGGTCCCTGTTTGGGTGGCTGAAGCTCCGGGTCCAAATGAAATTGAGTTTAACAACGTATGTTTAACTCAGCTTTGGTTCAGGGGGCAAGGACGCCGTGGGTGCATACCGTCCACAAGCATGGATATGAGCTGGGATGGAACCTGGTCCCTGTTTCCTTTTCAAAGGGGAACTGTCAAACAAAAATAGACCCAAACGTGTCCGAGCCCTAAAGTTACAGCTGCAGAGTGATTGTTGTGTCCCTCTCTTCGTTTCAAGAACTGTCATGGCTCCATATACTGCAATTGTTTTGTGGCGAAGCCGCGCATCTCACGATTCGAAACAACTTTTGCGGATGCAGGCCTGGATTGGCTGGGTACGAACAGGAGTACTAAAACAGGGGGACAAACAGATGGAATCTACAAACAACGCATCCATGAGCTGTTGTGTACAGCAAATGTAGAATCATTGCAAGAATGTTCAGCTGGCTGTTTGGCTGTCTGCTGGCTGGCTGGCTGGGTAGGCAGGTGGGTGTCTACTTTTCTACCGGGGCCCCCAACAAACTCTGCGGGGCCTGGGTTGAGCAAGTAAAAGTTAAGTTCGGGTACCTGAATGCTTCAACTGCGGCAACGACAGGTCATAGCGTTGGGTGGGATTCGTGTTTTTGGGCTTCGTTGGAGCTTGACCAAAGAGATGACCTTCAGCCGTTCTTCGAACTCCGCGGCATTTTTCAACCCTAGGCCCAGCATCCAATCTGCCAATGAAAAACGCCCGAGGCGTACCCCAAATCCAGCACCCGTAAGGTCCAAGTCGAGATGAGGCTCTATGCTAGCCACCGCAATGGCCATGCAACATGAATCCGAACCCTAGCCCAATCCTCCCCTAGCCTATCTCAAAACAGGCCTGACTTCTGTGATCCAACCCAAACTGGTCCTGGACTACCCTCCCAAGCGCCCAGTTTTCATGTTTTATGGTAAGGATTCCCGTTTAAACTCAAACAAACAAAAGACGGATGCCTTTCTTCAAATTGGCCACTGGGCATCTGAGATACTTCGGAAAGCTAGTCCGCATGAATCCGCCAAAATAATGCATAACGTTGTCGATTGAATTCTTGAAGCAACAAATGAGCGCTGCGCCACTCTCTTCCGGGTTCGTCCAATCCCGGCAATTTGTTTGGTGACCCGTGGGAACCGAACAGCTTTCGTGGTTGAGTTCTTTGCTGGTCAAATGGGGCATCCAACTTAGGGCCGTTGAAATCACTTTGTAAATTGTAGGCAGCGCCCAAGCACGTGTATCAGTGGACGGTACCGCAAGGTGCCGCGGAAATCCGCATAGGAAGTCCTCGGGTTCGGGATATTCCAAGCCTCAGAGGTTGGAACATGCAATTTGACCCATTGAGTGGATCCAGGCAAGTCATATCATGGGATAAGTCATGTAAAACACGGCAATCCTCGGTTACCTGCTGTAGTGGCCTGCTTGGTTCCACTTTTTTGTGAGGTGTCCGTCTTCTTTTTCTTCAACGCCGTTGCCTTGTTCTCCCTGAACAGGGCATGAATGAGTGTTCCTTCAACCAATCAACCAACGGGGCCAGAGGGCTCGGGGATAAGCTTTCGGTGTGCCCTTGGGAAGTTTCCTGACCCGCAAAAACCCAGCGAATCGTCCGGTTCCTGAGGTTTTTAGGCTTTTAGTTGACTTAGTGGGGGTGTCCATTTCACCCACTAAAAGTTTCTTCTTCTTTTTTTTAGCAGGGGATCAGTTTGGACAGCCCAGTCCCCGGGTTCCCTCAATGGGAAGACAAGGTTCAACAAGCTGATCGTCCGGAAGCCCGGCGCCTTTGGCGGCATGGAGGGAGTGGACTTCCACATCGAGGACGCCGTGAGACGTTCGGAGGCTCAATGCCTCTGTTGCTTCAGTCGCTTGGCTTGGGAGCATTTTAGCGGCAAGCAGAAGCATCTCGGACTTCTTGGCCAAGCTCCAGAAAGCGAGCTGCTGTCTTTGTGTTTTCTGTGTTTGTTGCGGGGTTCTCAGAATAGCGGACCTCGATTTAACGGGAATCAAACATGAACCTACCTGGAGGGGTCGCCAATTTTGAGAAACATCCATATGCTGCATTTGCAGGTTCACCAAATGTGAGAAGCTCTGGCTTTGCTTGGGGGGCAATGAATGAAGTAGATTCGCCCGCGCAGCATCTGAAAACTCGCAGCGTCAGCGAGTCCAGCTGAAGTCAGCGTAGGACTGCAGCGGTTGCACCTGCTTGGTGTGTGACAAGTCGGAGGAGTTCTATGCAGACGCGCCTTGGCAGTTTCTTGCTTTAGATCCTATTTTTAGAATATCAAGGGCCGACAATTTTCCATCCCCAAGGAAAGCAAGTTGCACGGCCAATTTGGTTGGGGACGCTATAGCCATTCGGTTGATAAACTGGGACGCCTTATATATGTTTTTCGGAAAAGGCGGCGCAACGACAGCAGGGTGCCACTGTTAGGGCTGCAAGACTGACCCAAAGATCAAATTATAGGTTTTGTTGAAGGGTGGTTCCCTTAACTATCTAATACCTACTATATAGGCTTCCATGTCTCAGACCTCAAGCATGTACATTGGGGGGTTAATGCCCATGTACTCATATGTACCGGGTATGTACATAGCTCATAGGATATACATGTGTTTGCGCTCGTTTGGGGTACTTTCTGAAGGGGGGGCGAGGATTCAGTGCAACTTTCTTTGTGAGTTGTTTCCTGCAGATGTAGCATGGAATCCAAAAAGCAATCATGCCAAGAGGAGTCTCTCAAGCTCTTTCTTTCTTTCTTTCTTGCTTTCTTTCTTTCTTTCTGTCTTTCTTACTTGCTTTCTTTATTTCTTTCTTTCTTTCTTTCTTTCTCTTGATCTCTCTCTCTCCCTCTCTTTTTTTCCCTCTCTCTCTCTCTCTCTTTCACTTCTCTCTCTCTCTCTCTCTCTGTCTCCCCGGGGAACTAGACCCCGAATCAATCAACCCGGGCGGATTACTAGGAGGCTTTTTGCCTTACCAGTGACGTATCCTCTCTACAGCTGGGCACACTCAATTCTATCACCCAAGAGTGTATGAATCCTGTGTTTCCACCCATCCGCAAGGCAGCGTTTTTTGTTGGCTGGTTTCTTCCATGTGTTTCCCTTAGGAACGAACCCTTACATTGGTGGCCTAAATTGTAGCGAGCTCACCTGGGGGTGTAACGAGCTCGCCATAAAGGCCCTGTACATGGGGATCCCTTAATTCATCTATTGGAAAAATATTGCAATAATTGCAGACTTTACCTTGCTTTGGTGCATTTTGCTTGGCTGTTAGGACTTTAACTTTTTGCCAACTCATGGGTTTTCCACTAAACCACTAAAAGTTAAACTTTTAGCAGGGGAGCAGAAAGCAAGCGAGCTTGGTTGATTCCCCTAGAAAAGCCATGACCATTAGCCCCTGTGGGTTTTGATTCACCGGGCCAGGCGCTGGTCAACTGCCGAGTTCTCATCGGGCCGGGGCCCGAGCTCGAGTGAAGTTGTCACAGGGACCCATCCCCGAAAAAGACATCGGCTGGGCCCGGAATAAAAAATATTGACTTTGCGAAAAGTCAAACCCCCCTGTTTGTAGGAAAACACGGAGGAGACAACAACGACCACCTTCATGTTGACTTTGGCGACATCCGGAGGACTATAGCAATCCAAGAAATCCCCTATGAATGAATGAATGAATGAATGAATGAATGAATGAATGAATGAATGAATGAATGAATGAATGAATCGCCCGACAAAAGGGGGCACCACTCCTGATTGCTACAGTTGAATGAATAGACCATGCCCCTGCCAAGTTGTTCAGTGGATTCCACCCTGAAAAATATGTTTTGTTTCGGCGGGTTTGCGACTCACCCAAAACTCAAAACGGCCAACCCGAAAAAGGAAGCAAAATATCTGAGCGAACGTGTGATCCGGCAACTGGCATGGGCAGAGTCGCCTGAGTTGTGGGGCCTGGTTTCTGGGTGACTCGGTTCTATCCTTTAAGGCCTTTCCCTCACCTTTTGACTTCCGTTCTCGTATTCTTTCCCAGCGCGTCAAAAGGCAAACCCTGTACTTGTTGCAGTGGAGGCAACGCAGGTAAGATTCCCTGACAAGCATTGTCTTGATCTTCTTCCTAAGTGGCTTGAACACTGAAGTGTTGACCATTTGCTGTTGTACGTAGTTGCAGCATGCCAACGACATTGCTTCTTGGGACGCCTTTTTTTTTGGTGGCGCAAACATGCAGTCGTTGGCCCCTCCAGTTACGCACCTAAGCCCTTCATCCAGGGCCAGGGAATGAATATGGCTGTGGGTCAAAACCAATGGTACCATTTTTGGGGTGGCTGCACCACCCTGTTTTAGTGAGGATTGGGATGTTCACTGGGGGTACGGGATTTTGACCCATGGCAATATCAACGGAATGATGTAAAGAGCCAAACGCATTTTAGTCAGCTACAATTGTGGCAAGTGGAAGCACTGGTTGGGTTGATCTTGGACCGAGCAATCGTGGGGAGGGCCCCTACAAGCTATGCCCCGTACTTCCAAATACCTGTATTCACTGTATACTAGGTATCCAGAGGAAACCATAATGTAAAAGTTAGATGCTTGATGTAAGCATACCTGCTTTCCTTCTACTGAGTTGTGTACCTTTTGGGAAGGCTGTTAAGTACGGTCGATCGATATATAAAGAAAACTGTGTTTTTTCGACCAGTGTCTGGAATATTTCTTAAATGCTTCATGGGGAATAAGAAATGGTGCTGTCAATCCAGAGTCTCAACCGGATTTCTTCCCCCCCCCCCCCCCCAAACCTCCCCCCCAAAAAAAAGAAAAACAATCTGAGATCCAAATTAGCTTTATCGGGTCCAGCCTCAAAACAGCTGTCAGAAGACACTGATTTTGCAATTCCTTAGTCCTAGCATGTTAAGGGTCGCAGGCCCAAGTTCGCAACGTAGAATTCACATAGTCACGGACATACTCCCAGAAACAGTTCTTGTTTGCTGTTTTTGCTAAGAGTTTTTCGTCCTTAAACTCTGAGCTGAAAACTTCGCGTTCTGGGAGGCCTTCTTTTAGAAAGACATCGTGGCAGCGGGATCCGTCTCGCCACATCTCAACAGGCAGCAGCTCAACACAGCTCAACAGATCTCAGGTGTTAGAAACACAACTCTTATCAGCTCAACACAGCGTCCACATGTGGTTGTGTGTGAGTGTGTGTGTGTGTGTGTGTGTGTGTCCAGGTACCAGAAATTACACGGGTGGTGAGCCTTTTTTGGTGGGGGGTTACATATTTTGTGTTTTTTGGAGCGTTTGTTACGGGTCTCAAATGAATTATTTCTGGCTAGCTCGAATGTCCAATTTCTTGCTCCATAACATTTCTTAGCACACTGACGCGAGGTAGCAAACAACTGCGGACTGTTGCTTCTGGCCAAGGCACGAAAGTGAAACTGGGTAACCGGAAGCAGAAAGGGATGACGTCAATCCGAGTTTTGGCAACCCTTTCGGCGATTTCCAGGGTCCGAGGTTCAGGGGATGAGATACTTCTTGGCCTAGTGTTTTGGTGAGCGACTTATTCTCCAAGTGGGACATGAACCACCCCCTAAACTTCTGGCTGTGATTTTCCCGCAAGAGGCCAAGCGTACAAGTGAAAGATATGTTTCAATTTGTCGAGATCCCCGTAGACATTCCACTTTGGCTGCCCCTCCAGAGGCACTGTTCAGCACGCTGCCCCTTTCTTTCGCTGCCTTGCTCGCGCCCTTCCCTTTTTCTACATTTTGGTTAGGGGCTGGAAACGACAAATTGGGCTCGCAAAAGGAAAAGCAAGCGATTCTCGCTAGCATGTTGTTGTTTTTCTTGCTGCTGCTGCTGCTGCTGCTGCTGCTGGCCTTGTTGTGTCATTGGTTGTCGTTGTCCTTGTTTTCGTTCTTGTGGTCGTTTTTGTTTTCGCCATTGTTGTTCTGCTGGTGCTTGTCGCTGTTGTTCCCGTTGCGCTTGTGGTGGCGGTGGCTCGCAGCGGTGGCAGCCGCGGCCTTTGCAGCGCCGGTGTCGCGGCGGCGTTGCTCGAGCCACAGCGCTGCCAGCAAAGAGCAGCGCCACGGAGGCGCCCGGAGCAGTCGGACCCGGCCACTCAAGGTGCCCCTGCATAGTCGTCCGAGTCGAGGCGTGCCATGGCCATCCAGAGAATCAGCAAGCGCGCGCTCGCTTTGGACCACGCGGTATTGGAGAACGAGTGACACAAATGGGTATCGACTTTGCCATTTTGGTCCACCCATCTTTACTCCTGCCACTGTAGGTGCAGTAACCATTGGAAAACATCATGCAGGTGTGTGTGTGTGTGTGTGTTTTTTCAGGGCACCTGCCAGAATCATGGTTTTCCTGTTGGTTTCCCTTTAAAACCAACCAAAAGACGAGGGTTTCCCAGAGATGGTGAACATGCCGCTTCGGGTTCTACGGCGACCACGGCTCGAGAGTCCCAGGCCTTGCGCCTCTTCGGCCTTCATCCGGAACTGCGAGAACTGCACCTTCTGGGTCCGGAGCTGTGCCCCGAAGCCTCCATTTGGGTGTGGATCAAAATTACAGAGCTTGGGTTGCGCAGCTTTTCGTCTTTGGTTCTATATGTATAGGTGTATATGTGTAATATACCGAGGAGCTATGTTGGTGCATTTGTTTGAGCCACAGCCATTTGCTTCAGAATTGTTTTGTTTTGGCATTTCCTCTCTTGGTTTGAAATGGGATCTAGTTGTTGTTGTTTTTTCCAAGGGGCCTCAAGCCCGTTTTGGGTTCTTGGGGTTCCTTAGGAACCCCCCAATGGACCACCCCTCCTTTAGGGATTCTCTAAAAATAAAGCGGCCGCCATGCGGGTCAATCAAAGTTCATCCGGGTTGCAAGTTCCATTGGATTCCATTCACTCAAGTGGAGAGGGCTTCCAAAGCAAAGTAGTCCAACACCCTTTCATGGTTGTTGGGAGGCTAGTTCGCCGAGTTGTTCGCCAAAAACCCCGCGAAGGTTGTTTATCAGTAATTCCCATCTTTCCAGTTGGTGACTTCCAGTGATTTGCCCAGTTCATGGAAAGGACTATAGGATGCATTTTTGTCGGAGTGGATTCGCAGCTTGTGTTCGGCCAATGCAAGCGAAACAAGGTGTTTTGAGAACGGCTGTTTCTCCACCAAGTAAATCGAAGATCATTTTCTCAGGGGTAGGAGTAACCCCTAGGCGCGTAGAGAGTTGCGCGCCTCCGCTACGATCAATCGACTTCTGGCCCTCGAGGGGCGTCTCACTGTTGGAGGAGATCCCTCACTTTTCGGGCAACTACTCCCAGTGGACTGGTGGACTCCGGGATGTCCACATTGCCTGCAACATGTTTGAGCATTGGATTTGTTGTATCCGGTTGGGTCTGTTTTCCTGCGAGCCTCACACTTATATCACATGTACCCTGAACTATTCCCCAACAGCGACAGCCATGAGGTCAATCTGTCAATCCTGGGTTGGCAGTCATGTGTGCTGATTCAACTACTCTGCGGCTGACATACAAAGAGGAGTACAATGGACATAGGTCCGTGCAAGTATAGGGTCCTTTGCTTGCATCTGCCCAGACTACCCCTGTCGGAGCACTCATGAGCTAAAAGAAACGGAGATTCAAGACAGATGAATCGCAAGTCACAATCCACTTGGTTTCATGCATGCTTGAAAACACTCCGAAAAGCAAGGGCCTGTACTCCAAGCGGAGCAAATGTTGGAGGCTCAGCAATCAGAGGCTTGGTACGTGCCTCACCTTTATGGACCTTCAAGACCCGCAGGTCGCTCGGGGATAAGGTCCGCAAGTCTTCGTGACTGAGGTTGTGACCCGTCAGTTCCGACTCAGAGACTGCTCCAACTGCACCTTCTACCTGCCCAGGCCTTAGTTGGAATACAACCTTGGCTGCTATTTTGCATCTGAAGGTTTTCTAAATTCGGGCCTGGATGAAGCAAATACTACAATTCCTGTGTTTGATTTGGCAAAAAGCTGGGCAGGTCGGACCTCCAGTGGTGTGCGTTTTGTTCTTGACATCAGCTTGGTTGAGAATAGATGGGTTTCACTGGTTCACCAGTGGCTCTTTCCATAACATCTGGGTTGTTCCTTTTCCTTTCAGGGGGATCTGGTGTGTTGAGTGGATCATACTGACCTTCCAACATCCAAGTTGGGCTTTATACTTTTTGGGAAGACCAATTTTGTGGTGGACCAATCTTGTGGTGAGTTCTGTTTGTTCTGCCAATCCACTCAGAAACTGGAGAGATGTTGGCGGATGTTTTGGTCCTAGGCATTGCCACACTGAGCCCATCATTGAGTCCAGCAAGGCAGGGGCTTTCTATGCTAGGCCCATGTGCGCATGCGTATCCGCAGGTTTGTGACCAACAGACGGATGAAGGGGCCATTGTTCTCAGCTGCCCAGTGGATGTGCGGCCTTTTTCAACTTTGTTTGGGAAGAGTTCCCCTTCAACCTCAGCCAACCAAGAAGGGATGCCCTTTTTTTCTCGGAAATCCACTGTGCATCTCAGTTTTAGTATTCGCACCTTGGGCGGAACGGTCCAAAAGGAGCCAAATGGAAACCAAGCCTAGGATTCATTGCCTATCTTCGAATGCGTTGCATCCCTTTGTTTCCTTAGCAAACTCAAAAGGGGTAAGGCATATTTTCAATGGAACATGTAGGCTTGATCAGTTTCCTGGTTTCGTATGGATTGGGGTCCTCGTTTCATTGCAGATGTAGACTTTGCGCCTGCGACACATGGAGCAACACGAGCTGCGAGGATGTGCGACTGGCCCCTTTCCACGCGAAGTACCCTGGTTTGCAGCAGCCTGAGACCGGTCTGTCCCGCTTTTTTTGTTGACCCCGGATAAACGTTAGCTTCGGATGAATCCGCAGGATCAGTCCAAGAGCCCCGCAAAGTCGTTGTCGTTCCTGAATAAATGCGGAACCACCCTGAATAAATGTAGGCCCATGGGTTTGGGGGCCCGCTTCGCGGATTTTTCTATGGCCGACCGGGAGTCAGCAGCTCGTGATCGGCAGTTTTGGGTAGGGTTCAAAGCTGTTGGCCATCGGTGGTTTCTTCTACCTCGTTCAGAACCCTTTGGCCATTGGTTGGGTGATTTTGCCAGGTTCAAAAGGGATCATACGGATGCAATAGGCTTCGGGCGCTGCTCATCTCATACACACCTGGCAGCGTGTGTTCTTCTCACCCCTTGTTGAGGCGGCTTCAAAGGGAGACGAAGGCAATAATTGGTTTTGGTCTATTTGTGATGTATTTTTTTCTTTTTTCTTCCGGGGGGGGTGGGCGAGGGTTGCATTTCAAGACATGTGATTTTGAGAGCTGCTTTTTTGCGCCGTTCGCAGAGTCTTCGGCAAAGCGGAGGTTTGGGTGAAACCGAGGTTTGCTTGGAAAGCCGTTTTTGGCCCCGAATCCCGCGCCCATTCGGAAGATATGACCATGAGCTTGGAGGAGGTGTTTCCTGGCCTTCAGGACCAAAACGGGAGGCGTCCGCTTGCCGGTGATTCCTTTGCTGAGAAGAAAAAAAACACTTTGCACCTGCGTAAGCAAAACCTTGCACGGCGCAAGCCGGCGCAAGCACTTTTAGTGGGATGCTGCGTAAGAACCCGCGTGAGCTCTTCTTCGTGTTTGCTCGGGAAGCTTTGTAAGAATGCTCGGGAGGGTTGTTTCACACATGTGCTTATGTGTTTATTGGTGGCTTGCGTGACACTTGTGTGGTTTCAACCTAGTTGAGCTTGGCAGACATTGGCTGCAGGAAAACGTCTAAGACCTCATGCGCGCACCTTTACAAAACCAGCAGAACTTTGATTGGCAGCTCTTGAAATGCATGCCAGGTGCTGTTGAAACCTTGACTAGGACAAACAACGGCTTCTGAAGCCGTGGGTTTTAGGAAAACTAAAGGGGCTCGGGCGTGTAAGCTCGCGTAAGCAGCCGCGTAAGGTTCGCGTAAGCTCGCCTAGCTCAACTGCCCACTAGCCCTCGCCGTAGATGCCACCGCCGCATAAGCCGCTTCTTGTCCTGCAGTAAGAGCGACAACGCCCAGCTGCTGAAACTTGTGAGGGTTCTTCGCCATCTCCTCAGAGTCAGCGACGTCATCTTGTAACAGTTCTGGCGGCTGCATGGGAAAAGCAGCCCGCGTAAGCAATTCTTGGGGGGAAGCTCTCAAAACGCGGATGCGTAAGCGATGCGTAAGCTCAACATGCTCGCTGACTGCCGCATAAGCTAAAACATGGGGCGCTTAAGGAAAGTGCAAGCTTGCGCGCAAGCAACCTGATACGACATGAATCCCTATGAGGATTTTAGAGTCGCTCTTATTAATAGGCAAGCTCACTTGAGTGGCGGTTGTGTTTCCCACTCAAGCAAAAATGTCTAGAGGTGGACATCTCAGCAAAGCAGGTAGCACCAAAATGCAGCAGATAATATATGCTCCTACTAGAATTTCTAGCAGGTCGTGCGTACAAATTCCCTCGCACAAGCTACATTCCTCAGTTTCCAAAAAGACATTGCCCGCAGAAGGCACGTGGAACCACTTTTATAGAAACGTGCTCGCGGAAGCTGCCCTTCACACCGCGGAAGCTTTGCCAATTTGCGGCATATGTCGAATCAAAAGAGACTGGAGCTTGAGCAATAGACCGGTTGCTCGTTCAACCAACCCGCCAAGAAGTGTCAAAAGACACAGCCGCAAAACACGAAAAAGGGCACGGTCTCCCAGACCCAGATGTCCTTTTGATCCATGCCTCCAGTGGTGCCCGTATTGCATTTGGATTTTGGAATACGTCAAGGTTTACTTGAACCCCCAAGTTACAATCAAAAAGTACATGTACTGGGTATGTAGATGACTTTAAACACAGCCAACAAACATCTTCACTTGTTGTTCCAATCATGGGAGGTTTGTTTTTCTTTCTTCCCATCTTGTTTTGCTGCAGGGAGGTCATTGGCGAGAGGGTGTTTGCTCTTGGGTGCCTTCAGCAAACGAATCGAGCCTAGCTTTCAGCCGAAAGCGAGTCGATGGAAATGTACCTCATGGCTGAGCTTTGAAAACTTGACAAGGCCTCGAGAGTAGAGGCTTGGTTGGGCCATTGACTCGATCCGACGCTTTGCCGGAGTTCCATCAGAGCTGCAATGGCGTTGTCTCCCAAATGGCGGAATCTCCACAGTGAGCGGTTTTGGCTTCCCTTGAGCACGAAGCAAATTGACAAGAGTAGCCTCAAAAAAAGCAACATGCACATGTTGGAGCTCAAAGCTCATCAGGACCCAAGATTCAGAAACTCCTGGTCAATTCCGTGGTACGAGGGTTTTGGCCAGAACTTGGGTGTGAGGTGCCATAAACCAGAACTGCTGTTAAATGATTGTTGCCTGAGTGACCTGCTATTCTGCGATCTGCACATGTTTTGTTTGAGGCGGGCAAAACAAAAGGGAAGCATCTGAAAGCCCTAGGAGTTTGACCCGAGGCTTGTAAGAGTGCTACTTTCTGTGTGCCCCACATGTGGTCCATGTTTTCTGGTGCCTCGGTACCAAAAGTCAGCTTGGTTTTGTTCAGGCCCTGCGGTGATTTTTGGTCTCGGTGATCCTCCTCGCATCCGTTGCAGAGGGCTTTGTGTTTTTTTCGAGCATGCCTTTCCAGCTGAAAGCCATCATGTTTGCTGTCCTCCTCTTTTGACACAGCCCCATGGGGGACACCATCATGTAGTGAGTTTTGTCTGGAGTCCGGCTTGATTGCGAGCCTTTCGGCTGGCTTGGGCCTGTGGTAAGAGCCAGAAATGGTGAGTGGACTTAAATTCTCATGATGTCCACCACAGGAGGTCCCGATGTTTTATCCCAGCAAGGTTTCAAATATCGTGCCTTTCATTCGAGTTTGTCCATCAAGGATCGAAGCCCATGGGGAACTTTGTGATTTCTGAGTCTGGCTCAGCACCCCTAGCTTGCAACACGCCGCGGCGCTCCAGACACGCGATAGATGGCTGACTTGAACATTGAGGCGCCGGCCAGCCCGTGTCCAAACGCTGTCCGGCTCGCGGCTTTGAGTTTACAAACCAAAGTCGAAATGTCCCAGTAGATTCCATGATCCTGTATAGCCTACTGTCGTGGCTTGCCCATGATCAACTTGGTTTGCTAAGCCCCCCCCCTTCCGCATTTGCACGGATCCTACAAGGAAATTGCAACTTTCAACCAGACATCCAGGGAGAGTTCGTAACCTCTGATTTGGTTCAACCAAAATAAGGTCCCAATTTCCACCAGGAGTCTATACACCGAAGCTCCGTGTTGGCTGGTCCTTTTTCCCAGGACAACCGGCTCTCTTGGTTCCTCCAGCTGCCTGTGGACCAGCGCGTCATCCGTCAAGGAAGCTCTAATGTGCAAGACTTGCAGGAGGCCGCGAAGACCATCTTGCGGCCCAGCCTTTTTTGAGCCGGGCTTCTCTTGTGGTGTTTGTTTTTGCCAGTTTTGCTTTGTGCTTATTTGTTTGGCTTAAGTCTTAGTTGCTTGTTGGCTTTGTGTGGGTGGTTCTCTGGACTTGTGTTTTTGCTTGGTTCTGCTTGGTTCTGCTTGGTTGTGTGCGCGTGTGGGTGCCTGTGTGTCTGTGTGTCTGTGTGTGTGTGTGGGTGTGTTGATGTGTGAGTGTGTGTGTGTGTGTGTTTCTCTCTGTCTCTCTAGACTTATGCTTGTCGTCTTTTTAGGCTTGCTCCTTGAAACCGGGTGTTGGTTGCCGAGGTTTGCAGGCCTCTGGCTGGACGGGCAGATGTTTTTGGTAAATGTGCTATAGGCCCAAAATGGATTCGGGTTTCCCCTTAAAACCCAGCAACAGAGGGTTTCCCCAAAGAAGACAAAGCCAGGTGCTTTCTGCCCAGTGACGTTACAAGTAAGGCAGCTGCTGAACGTGTGGCTCATAGAGCCGGTTTGCTGCTCGGAAAGCAGTGGAGGGGGTGTTCCGGTGACTGGGTACTTTCTCCTGTCAACTGTTGAGGTCCATTCAACCCTCCCCCCGCTCCTCCCGAAAAAGTCAGGGTTTGTTGCTGAAGTTGGGGACACGCGACCTTGCTCATGGAGGATCCTTCTTTGGAGGGCTGTGTTTGGGCTTGATTTTGAGGTCATTTGGGTTGATTCCAGGGAGCACCAAAAGGAAAGTATACAGGGCTAAGTTTGACACATGCCCACTCCCAGATTTGGTGTCTGCTGACCTCGAGCAACAGGGTCTGTTCTTCGCTTTCTTCCAGCTACCTGACCTGCCCAGACCCACCCCTCTCCCCCTCTTCACGGGCATTGAGGGATCCCATGAGGCCTTCTGTTAAGCCAACCTGACTAGCTTACTTGAGTTACTTACGGGGATCGATGGTGGCTCGTGCTTGACGACAGCGTTCCTATGACGATTCATTTACAAAAACACTAGCCGAGGCGGTTACTTCCAGGGCGGGAATTCCCATTGAACCTGCTCTTTGATCTGAAACCCATGTGAATTTGCAACCAGGTGGTTTCCCCCTACCAGGGGAAGTGGATCCCCGCAATTCCAGGCCTCACCTGAACTCAAAGCTCATCTCATGAGTTTGGCTTCCAAAAGCCCAGGGATGGGTGGAATCTGTCTTGTTTGAAGAGGCTCCCTTCAAGCAGAAATACGCACTGGCTGGTTTTTGTTGGTTCCCTCAGCCCCAAAAGAAGCCAGCCTCAGAAAACTTGCGCCCGGAGACCCCCCCCGTATCCCGCTGAATCTCCCAGTGAGAGAACTGCGTGAGAGGTGCAGAGCGAGCAAAGGACTCGCCAAACTTAAATGAACGAGAGATGATTTAAGTGGTAGTTGCAAACCCAGGAGAACCTCCCAGTTGCCCAGTGGATTCCGCCCTGTTTTTTTCCCTTTCTTTTTTTTTGGGGGGAAGGGTTCCCCTTAAAACTCCACCAACCAAAACAGGATGCCCTTTGTTCCCATGGCCACCTCCGAGAACTTGATGTGCTTCGCAGTTGGAGATGGCATGGTGAACCTATAGCCTCCCTAAAGCTGTAGCTCGGACATGTAAAGGTGGTCTTGTCTGAAAGTGACTTGTTGCCTTTTGGATTTACACCTTCCATTTTGTGAATCTCGACAGGTTGATTGCTTTTCTCGAAATGAGGTGTGTGTGTGTGTGTGTGTTTTCTCGTGGGGGGGTTACCCTTTAGATAGGAAAGCCACGTTTCCCTCTTTTGAGGCAAACCAATAGCATTTTATGGAAGACTTTAGCAGACCGTGCCGTCCGGGTTCTTGGGCGCCTTCCCGTATCATTCCTCGTGTTTGGTGTAGGTCTGCGACCATAGATGCACCGCTTTCAACTTGGTTCTAGTCATGTACCACTGGAACTCTTTATTGCCAAGAGGACAACTGATGTTGATCCAAGTCACAACCGAGCAAATCTATGTTCCGAAAAGATACCTATCGGACCCCCCCCCCCCCCAACAGCTGTCAAATGGCCCCAGCATAGTAACGCAAAAGAAGCTTATTTCACAAACCATACGATAGCAATGTGTCCCGGTAGCATGGAAGAACCCAGCTGCTTTGAAAGATCATGCCTTAAACCGTGGTGTAAACGCCCCCCCCGCCCCCCGGCCCAGCTCCATGCAAAAACGCCATGGAGTTGCAAGATGCCGGCGGTGTGAGCCTGAAAATGACCTGCGCAACACGGCCAGGTATCAACTCGTCTCCTTCGAGGGGCCGTTGATAGGGGCGAGAATTCTGATTTCGGCTCACCGGGTGAGACCGTTTGAGCGGTAAACCGTTTGAGGCGCTTCGGGAATCCGAGGCGCGGTGTGCGGACCAGTTGGTCCCTTCGCGGACCACTTCTTCAAGAAGGGCAGACACTCGTGGGAGCTCCATGGCAGCGAAGCAAAGGCGCCTGAAAGGCCCTGTGGTGTCGAAACGGCGCCCCACAAGAAAACCCCAAAAACCTGTAAACGTAGCCCCGAAAGGGTGTCCCCAAAAAAGGGCGTCCCAGCAAAGGGCGTCCCAAACGAACTCAAGAGTTTTCCGCTAGAATCAAAAGGGTACCCTCACCAAACAGTTCTGGTCTTGAGACCGGGATGAATATGGCTTGCCCCCGCAACGGGCGTCGGAGTCCCGTCGGCTGCCCAGAAAAAAACAAAGCATTTTGCCATGCCTGTGTTGGCACCATTGCCAAAAAAGCCAGAGGGGGATCGGGTAGGTTCAAAAGGTGCCTCCAAACCCAATCTGAGTTTGCGATCTTTTTTCGCCAAACCACGAATTTCAGGGGCCTCTGATTTGAGGCACAGTGCTTTGGGGTGTCACTGTGAGATTTACCTGTTTCTTATGTGAGGGCTTGGCCTTTGTCGAAAAATATCCAGCTGCAGTGTATATACACCCCCTTAAGAGCCTTAACATTGACCCTCACGGATTGTGGGCCAGTTGCAAAGCTCAGCTTTTCAAGTTTAGGCAACACGTTGCATTCCGTGAACACAAAGCATGCAAGCGCACTGGATGTGCTTCATCTGCTTTGCCCAATGTGTAAGGGTTACACACATAGTATATATATATATATATATACACATATTTCTGTATTTACTTATGTTTCCCTCTGAGTGGTTGTAAACATCGCAGATTCTGGCCAACACATCACCGCTGGAGCGTCTTGTTTTTCCAGGAACAAGAGTCTCGTCCTGCTCAGGGGATACCTCTGCCAAGCATAAATGCTCAAGCTACCCATAGCCAAGCGGCGGCAACATGGACCACTTCAAAATCCGGGGCTGAAGCGACCAATTGAATTGATATTGCGTTGAATGTTGTTGCTTTGTCGTTTTTGTATGTTTGAACGGTTTTTGTGTTTTTGTGTATTTGATTGAATGCTTCTGTATGCTTTTGAATGTTGTAATTTTCTGCAACCTGGAAATGCGGGCAGTATTTGCACTTTGCCAGCAGCCACTTACTTCCTAGCGGCGCCCAAGGCAGCTTCCATACACTCACTCAAGCCACCGTTTGAGTGGATTGCTAATGACTATCTACAGGGATGCAAGTGGAGCTGCCAACATGTTGGTGGCTGATATTATATTGACTGTTCTTGACGCTTGCGGAAAGCGTTCCGGTTCTGGACATGATTCATATGAAGGTTGTACTTGTGTTAGATGTTTATTTGTGAACACCCTTAAAATACACGGAAGCGGGCAGACAAATAAAGGCCAGACAAATATGAACCATCTCAACACCCTTAAAATACACAACCATCCAAATGGCATGCGAACAAGTTGCCAGTTAATATCGAAATTGGCCCGGAGGCCCAAGAAACCTCGAAAAACACAGAAGCGGCACCGATGCCATTTTGAACATGGAGGCTCATCACCCCCCGCCTGCTGCAACCAAACGTCAAAAACGGTAAGATGGAAACAACATGGTTGATTGAAACCATGATGTTCTGATGGCAAGATTGATTTGGCATCCATGTGCCAGTGAGAATTTGAAAGATGTGCAAAGCAGCCCCCTTTGCCCCTTTCGTTTGGTTCCTGACTAAAAACAGTGACGCCAAAACGGCTGCCAATTTGTTTTCTACCAAAAAGGTCGCTGGTTGCAACTGGGTAACGTGAGCTTCAGTTGACAGCGTTGGTCGCCCAAGGCATGGGAAGTAGACGACCCCCAGCGGGCCAATATGAGTCATTCATGTCGTGCTCCTAGGAGCCACTCCTCGAGCAAACTTGTAACAGCACGGAATGCAATCAAGGAGCTCCAACGAGGCATGCCCCCGAGGCAGGCCCTCAATTCGATCATGGTCCACTTTCGGGCTTCGGCTCATATCCGACCATACGAATTGCAACAGATCCCTGTGACACCCGGGAAAGATCCCAAGGGCTTCTTTTCCCGTTGTTCTCGCGCACACATTGCTGGCATTTATCTACACGGGGGGCTTCTTGAAACACAGCCCCCCCCTTTCCACAAACAAATCCATAAGAACACCGACCATTTGTCAGGTCTATTTTGCTAAAATGTATGGTAGGTGTCTAACGGAACATTGAACCTCATTGTCTGAGCTTGGAGGTTGTCCAAGTGTCGGGATGCCGGCTTCGATGGCTGGCAGAGCTGGAGATTTCCGCTCGGGGAGATCTGGCTCAACCACCTGACTTACGAGCTGCAGGCGGCATTGCCTCGGGCGGACGTTCCCAAGTTTCTGCGCTTCCGGGCAAGCGACGTCACCTTGAATGGGTGTTTTTTTTGCGACGTCGCACAAAGCGAAGGGCGATCCATGTTTGATGTTGGTTGGCGACTTCTTGTGGAGTTTGCCCAGACTTGATACTCACGAAGGCCAATTTAGTGGGAAACAAGAGGTTTAGCCTTGTTTTGCCCAATCCGCTTTGGAATGGGTCGGCAGGGATGGTCATGGACTGAACAGGAATCTTAGGTTGATAAGGCTGGTAAATCCCTAGGGATTATTCCGCCTCCAAGCACTTGTTCTGCTGGAAGCAAAGCTCTCCTTGGGGTCCAGGCTCCTTTCGAAAAGGAAGCAAGGACTTCCCAGGTGGCTGTGGGTCAAAAATAGGTACCCCAAATGGGTTGCCCTAGTAAGTGGACACATGGACCACAACCTGCAGTCTCCTGGTGGTTTAATTTTGGCCCATACCCAGGTGGCGCCTTGGCTCCTTTGCTTGCGCTATTGGGCACACCGCGCGAGGTGATGCGCATGGAAACGGAGCCAGTCCTAACTGCCCGGAAGCTTCAGGAGACCTCCGTGAGTGTTTTGTGACCGTTCAGCGACAGCATGCAAGGACCACTTCTTCAGGGCCCCGAAAAGTGTAACCTCTGATGTTCAGACGACCTGTCTCCAAATTGGGAGCCCCAAAGCTGTTTTTGGTTCTTGGTTTCTCTTTGAAAGCGGGCCACTGGAGGCACCCTCAAAATAGGTACCTCATGGTACCTCTGTTTGGGCATGTCCTTTCGGATTCCCTGTCCGACCTGAGAATCTCAAGAAACACGCCCATTCGAGTATGGAGGCACCCCCAACGTGGGGGGTTTTGTCTGTTCTTTTGGGGTTTCCCTTGGAAGGAGGGGTATCCTCAAACAAAGGCACCCTCATTTTTGGACGAAAACGGACCCGGAGACTGCTTCACGTCACAGGAGCTGCCGAGTGAAGGCAAGTGGCACTGCCTTGGGCCGGCGGTGTGTTGCCAAACCGCGGCTACCAAAAACCACTGGACCACCGCGCCTCCCAGCAACCACTTGGCAGCTTTCTTGTCGCTTCTTTGTTTGGTCTGCTTCAAGCCTGCCTAGGACAAGTTCAGGGGGTTCCGAGCCATTTCCCCGCAGTGGTACGGGGCCGTGTGTCTGTGGTCGTGGCCTTTGCGTACGTGCTTTTGTTTGGGCTATGCCCGGGTCCAAGGCACCAAGGGATCCTCTGGGTTGGCAACTTAGAACGGAGGAAGAAATCCCCAACCGCACTTGGTACCTCGGAACCTTGGGCAAAACTCCTAAGCCTTCAGCTGTCGAGGGCAAAAAGCAACAATTCTCGACCCATTTTATATCATTTTATCTTTCGGCCCTGACAGGTGGCCCAACATGTGCGGTGGCCGAAGCAGGCGGTGCCAGCCAGCGTACGATTCGGGACATGTCAGATGACCCGTAGTTTGGATTGGCTCGAGGATTTGAACTCCTTGCCACTTGTGAAATAGGTGGCTGGCAGTTTGGGGATTGAGGTGGGTGGTTTGGGAGAGACCCTCTATGTCCCGCTTTGGATGGGTTTACTTGGTGGAGACAAGAAACCCGGGGGTTGGGGATAGCCTGTTCACTTCATGGGAACATACAGCTGGGCCCATCAAAGTGACATCCGTCCTCAACATTGCCCTAGAAATGAACGGGAGGAACCCAAAGAAGGAAGTGCCCCAAAAGGAGTCTGCTCTGGGAATGACGGTTTGTTGGATTCCATGTTAATCTAGTCTACAGGAAAACAACCTCCCAAAGTGTTTCTGAACTCGAAATGTAACCACGGTTAAGGGAGCCACGGAAAACCTCCCAATTTCTTGCTCCCGGTCCTAAATGTTTGTCAGTTAAGGGGAGTTGGGTCTCTTTCCCCGAAGCTCGATGGTGGGTTGGTTCTCCCTTTCGTGAGGTGTGTTTTTTCCCCTCTGCGGTCAAAATTCTGAATGGCTGATTGTATGGACCCATGCTGCTATGGCTATTGGCTGTCTGACTGGCTTTCCTAGGGTTAAGCCGGAAGCCAAGTAACCATCAACAAGAAGGGCAGGAAGGGGTTCATAAAGCATAGTTTATTGATCTTGCAACAAGTAGTTCTTGACAATTTCATGTACTTGATAATTTCAGTTAACAGGATCAAATGTGAAAGTACAGCGGGTGTTTTGCAAAAGGATACCTACCAGAGGGATGTGGGTGGGGCGATGTTTGCAGGAGACATGCAAGAAATGTGTTTTCAGAAGTGAACTCTAGGCCCCTAGCCCCCTTGGGGGGGCTATATACAGACTCGGGTTTGTCTTAAATTTTCCGAAAAGGTTGGTTTCCTCTTGGTTTCCACGACATCCCGAAAAACGACAGGCAATCGGTGTGGCGTGTTGAAGCAAGCTGTTGAAAGAGGTTGGCCCCGCAGGTGGAAGCAGTTGATGACGACCCCTTTCCGTCGGTTGGAAGAGCTCTTGCAAGCCAACGGCATTCTCGACGGATGCGGGCTCTGCCCGAGCAGCGTGGCACCAATGCCATCGATGCGGGTTTTTCGTCTTGGTTCCAAAGGTCAATTTCCGCGTACTTCTTGGTCCTTTCGGTGCAGGTGGGCATTTGCGGCCACACAAATGGCTTCCTGAGTGGTTTCTCGTCCAAGCAGGAACCAGCTGCAAACAAAGCTCGTTTACATAGACCTTGGGACACACAGCCGCGCCAACGCGCGCTGTAGGGCGCTTTGGAGCGCTCATGGCGGATATAATGAGGGTGCGCATGGCGAGGGTCAAAATGAAAGTGGAATCCATGTGAGCAACAGTCAATAATCACTGTCACCTTCAAGAGTAAAGGGGATGACATAGGATCCACTCATCAAATCGCCATGAGGACAGTCGGGAGGTTATTCACCAAGTTACCCTGTGAGATGGGGCTTGGCTGATGTCCCAGCTGCATAGCGGGCAACAAAGGAATCGGTTCCCCTACTTTAAAATAGACTACAGAAAAAAAGAAGAAAACAAAAACAAGTTGGTACCCTTATTCTATTCTCGGCTAACTGGAGGACCTAGAAACGCCGGCGTTTTGCTAAGATCAACACTGGCTGTCGCCCAGCGACTCTACCGGGCACAGCCACTACAAGGCCCTGGCGTCCCTGGCGTGGCTGCCAGCTGACGATGCGCAGCCGCGGATTCAGCATTTTAGGGTGCGCTCGGGGGACAGCTTCGCATGAATGTGGGTTAAAAATCGGTACCCCAAATGGGTTGCCCTGGTAAGTGGAAACATGGACCAAAACCTGCGGTCCATATCCTGGTGGTGTAATTTTGACCCATACCCACATGGGAAAGTTGGTGTCCCTCCATCTGAAGCCGTTTGACCTTTTGTGATTCCCTCACTTCCTGTATTCCTGGTGATGCTTTTTGGTAAGAGCATGTTAGTGGTAAACAAACAGTTGAGACTTGTTTGATCCTTTCACTCAGGAAGTGAATTCCAAGTCGGGATCCCTTCGAACGTGACGAAGTGGGGGAGATTGGCCCACCTTGCTATGAACAAGTTGTCATGTTCAATAATCCAGCGGCTTTGGCTTCCCTGATTCAGCTTGGTTCTGCTTGGTTCCCTGGTGTCCGGTTGCAGGGACAAGTCTTGCATTGCATTGCCTTGAACTTCCTGTCCTGCATTGTTCATTTCAACGGGAGGTAGCTCGCGGTGAAATTATCACGAGCTCAGCCCTTGCGTGGCAATTCTTTGTTTGCCGTTTGTGAATTCCTTACTGTTCACAGATTATGTTTTGTTTCGTAGAATTGGTACGTGAATACTGGTTTCCTTCTTCCCAGCTCTTGATGATTTATTTTTGCCCATATTTTTGTGGATCCATTAAGGTCAGTGTGCCTTGCCACGTGCTTTTTCCTTGGGCAGTACCCCTGGTATTCTCTTGGTACACGAGGAACATGTGTAGTCCAACAACTTTTCAGCATACCTGAACCCTCCCATAGGATTTCTTTCATAAGGGTTTCGGGGTATGCTCCAAAAGTCTGTTGACAACTTCTTGGATGCACCCCAGTGGATCCAGTCATCTTTTTGCTGGGTCGCAGGAAACTGCCGGCTTTCCTGACATGTAGCTGAATCCACGGATCCCGAAATGTGTTTGTGTTTGTTTAAACAATCATTTGAAGACAGATTGTGGGAACCATTTGAACAGATCTTTATTTAGATCCTTTGATCCTTTTAATGTGTTGCTTCTTCGTTGTAAGTGGAACCAGATAAGAACATTGGTCGCACCCACCCATTGTTCCTCGGGGTTTAGCGAGCTTATCTATGATGAAACTGCCTTTCTTGGGGATTCTATTTGTCCGATCTGTGAAGTATGGACATGTGCCCACTCTTGATGTCTAGCCTTTAAATGTACCAAATACTTATTTGGGCCACTGTATGTGACAGGGGCATACGAAAAAAGTAATCACAGTTTCAAGGAGTACTGCAACCTCGGATTGCGGACCATGTTCCGGGGATGCGCTCGATTAGCATGGTCCTCTGGATGAACCAAAGTGATCATGAGGCATTTGGCTTGGTTCTTGGACATTTCCTATGGGACTTCCTGGTAGGAATCTATCGGTTGCCCTTGGGTATGTACCCCTTGGGTCTTCTCTCGACAAATATTGGGGTTCTCAAACTGGTGCCCACCTCGCATGGGCTTTAATGGAAAAAAGCCAGCGGAAACAAGCCATATGATTGAATGCCCTCTCTGTTGCTTTTGCCATGGCTATGTTGGGAAGGGCACCCAGGGGCAGCCTCCCCCCTTAAGTCCCCATTTGTGAGCAGAAGCTCCCTTCAAACGAGGGTCAGGGGTTGTTGCCAGGGTTCCGTTTTTGACTACCCCAAGGTCGACTTAAACCCAGGGGTTTCCCATTTGGAGAAATCAACCACTCCTGGGTTTAAGTCGACTTTGGGGTAGTCAAAAAACGGAACCCTGGTTGTTGCTCTTTGTTTTGCAATTTTGGCCCAACCTTGTCATCCGCCAGGTGGGCGTCGCTGGCTGGCTTCGCTTTGACCACCTCACCGGCTCCATCTACATGCCGCTCGCAATGTTTCACTCGCTTTACTTTTCGTTCCCCCCCCCAACGTATATATGATGTAACGGCCCGGCATGTAAAGATGAATTAGGTTTGCGTTCCGCCAGATTTCGGCTTGCGGGCTATGTCCACTGGCCACTCCTCCGAAGGAGTGTGCCAGTGCGATTTGTGCCTGACCCTTAGCAGGGTCAGGGATCTGTGCCGAGGGTCTAGCTCCTATTTTTTCTGGAGCCGGGCCCTCGAGCGTGTGAGGTTGCTGCAGGGGGAGATCCTGGACCTTCGGGATCGGGATCACTGGTTGACAACCCAGCCCCCTGCAGCAACCCCTCCTGGGACGGGAGGGGTAGGAGGTGCTCCTTCCGAGGGAGCATCTCCTGTGGGAGCTCGAGCTCCTGAGGGAGGACCGGGGGACCTGGCAGTCCCCCCGGCCTCCGACACAGGCTCAGCGGCAGAGGCTGCTGGGGCCAAAGAGGCCGGTGAGGAGAGAGTGAAGGAGAAGAAGAAAAGGAAGAAAGAGGAGAAGAGGGAGAAGGAGAAGAAACGGAAGAGGTCCAGGTCATCGAGGGGGAAACGCGAGGAGAGCGTAGAGGTCACAAGGAGTCCGGGAGGAAAGGAATCGAAAAGAGGAAGGGAAGAGTTTCCGTGGCACCAGGTTGGAGGCTCGGTGGGGGTCAAGGAGGAGCCCGTCGCGAGCGAGGAGGAAGAGGAGCGCCCTCGGGAAGCCAGACATCGGACCCCCACCTCTCCGGTGTCATCAAGCAAGGAGGATAAGGCGAAGAGGCATAGGAGCACTTCGAGTGAGGGGCACATCCGGCGGCTTATTGCAAAGAACAAGGAGGCCACTGAGGAACGGGCTGAAGGTGAAGAGAGGAGAGAGGAGGCATCAGACAGCAGAGAGAAGGAGGAGATCAGGAGGGACCTTAGCCGGTCCCCTTTGCGGAGGCTCCCGGGGGGCTTCATCGAGGACCTGCTGATCCGGCCCCGAGAGGAGTACAGAGGTGAGGACAGGAGAGGAAAGAACAAAGGGCGTAAGAAAAGAGAGCAGCAGAGGAGGTTCAGGGAGCGCTTTGGAGGAGGCAAAGGAAAAGGCGGTGGAAAGCACTGGGGAGGCCGAGGAGATTGATGCCTCCGAAGGTGGGCGGCAGAAGAGGAGCTGCTAAGGCCAAAGCAGCTGCAAAGGGGAGAGCTAAAGCCCTGGCCCGGCTGCCGGTAGCTCCTCCTAGGGTCCGAAGGAGACCAGCTGGGGAGGAAGAGAGAGAGGAGCCGGCCGTGTGGAGGAGGCCGGCTGGTAGACAGGTGGCTCCAGTTGAAGAGAGGTTTGAGAAAGGAGAGAGTGTGAACGTGGTGGAGTTGCCAAGACATTTGATTAGGCCAGGCCAGAGCTTGATCGTGGTTGAAGGCAACTACTGGGAAGCCCCCGTGACGCTATGTGGAACAGTGGAGAGAGTCGAAGAGGACGGAGCAGGTGTCGTCGTGGAGGTTCGGCTGTTGGGCACGGAGAACGAGGACCTCCTGAAGTGGTCGACAGGGAACCCAGCGAGCCGACGCAAGCTCCACATGTGCGGGGACGGTTGCGTGGCAGGCCTATGCGAGGACGGGCTGGTCCACGTGAAGACAGTCAGGCTTCGCCTCCCAGGAGCAAGGGAGGCGTGGCTGGACAACCTGGTGGGGCATGTGCCGTTTCAGGTGGACGACATGGCGGCGTTGAGAGAGAGGGGAAACGAGCTGGAGAAGGAAGATTTGAAGGCTGGAAGAAAGAGCAAGAGGGCAAAGGAAAAGGAGACAGGAGGTATGGAGAAGAAGAGGGCGAGAAGCGAGTCAAGCTCTTCAACCAGCTCATCCAGCCGGAGGAGAAAGAAGAAGAAGAAAAAGAAAAAGAAGGCGAAGAGAGGAGTAAAGGTCGAAGCAACAAAGGAGCTGAGCGCCGTGTTTGGAAACACCGGGATGGACCCGGATGTCAAGGTGAGGAGACAGGTGGTGAGGAAGGTAAAGAAGAGCCTGAGGCTGCTGCAGAGACAGATGGACACCTCCGATCGAGATTCTTCAGGAGAGGAGTCGACAGAGGAGGAGGACGCGGGGGTGTTCGAGGAGGCGCAGAGGATCAGGAGAGTTGGAGTAAGAGGCCCAGGAGTTTTGGCAGCGGCGTCCATCAACGAGATGAAGAAGTCGTTGGTCGCGGCTTCAGGGCAGCTGTGGGGCCAAAGCAGAGATCTGGCGCCGGTGGGAGTGCACTATTTCAGGACGGTGCTTCAGCTGAAACTCCATGGTGCGATGGCCCGAGAGGCGTTCACCCTGGCCTATGGTGCGGACCTCCTGGCCCAAGGGAGGGTCGCCGAGGCGATCGACCTGTTGCTGCAGCGCCTGAAATCGTTGGAGCAGGTCTCTCAGGGGATGCCGTGGCAGACTGCTCAGAAGATGGAGCTGTGCCCCTTGGAGACAGCTCAGGTAGCAACCCGGGCGGAGGCTGCGATCGCGATAAAGGAAGCCCGCGGAGAAGGTGCCTGGCAGAACCCTGGAAAAGGTGCTCCTGGGAGGGAGCAGCAACCGAAGGGTGGTTGGCGAGAGCCAGGAAAAGGACGAGACGGCAAAGGCAAGAGCAAGAAGGGCAAGGAGGAGAAGGGATCAAAAGGTGCAGAGAAGAAGTAAGGAAGGCAGGAGTCAGCAAAGAGGAGGAAGCGCCAGCCTGGAGATCTCCTACGAATGGGAGAGGTGAGGACCGGACTATGACAGAGGAGGATGAGACCTTGGACCACAGCGTCCCTCAGAAGATGACAGACCGTGGAAGAATTCAGGTACTGCCATGCATGAGGGGAGCCAACAGCGCTCCTAGCCAGGGGATGTTGCCTCTGCCCTCGGGCCGACCCGAGGTAGAGGCGCAGAAGGGAGTAGGAGAGATGCTGGGGGGCCTTACTTTTGGTGAGGGAGCAGTTCATTTGGGAGCATCGCTGTTTCAATATTTATCTTCAAGCTGCATGACCAAGTCCATTGGCAACATCTTTCCCTTGCCATCAGCCTTTTGCTCCCTCAAGAAACTATTCCCGAACAAGAAGGACGAGGAGATGAGTATTCTTCAGAACATGATTTGGTCACTGAATCATCTAAATGGCTCCCCAGTGTCCATGGTTGGAGATGGGACCCCCTGCCAACAGCGGCTTTTGGGGGGTCTCATGGATGAAGCGTGCGCCGCTGGTCGGTGGCTGGAAAAGGCGGAGTTCCTGGACTGGGGTGAGTTCTTCAGAGTCAAAGGGGTTGATTATCAAGGAGAAGAGGTCAAGGTTGCACGTGCGGTTTCTTGGGAGATGTTATCCCCTGCATTGCCCTCGGAAGTTGGGACGGTTGCCCTTTCTGACGTTTGTGATGCAGGGTGCAAGCATTATGTTGAGAACTTCGAGAACTATCTTCTCCCGGTTGAGGACCAGGTGTTCACGAAAGGGCCAAAGGTCATGGTTCCTCCCGGGGATTGGGAGGAGCTCGCAACAAACCTGGTTCAACGAGGCATTTGCAAAGTTATTGAGGAGTCAGAGGTTTTTCACGTGCAGGACAAGCCCTTGTTGAATGGTCTCTTCGGGGTTTCGAAGGGCGACTGGTCAGGCGAGATTGAGGTCCACCGGCTCATCATGAACTTGATACCCTTGAATCGTATTTGTCGGGGTATTGAGGGCGACATTGCTACTCTTCCTTCGTGGAGTTCTATGGGACCACTGTCGCTGGATATCGATGAGGACCTTCTCATTTCAAGCGAGGACGTGAGATGTTTCTTTTACATTTTTAAAGTACCCGTTTCTTGGCATAGGTTCATGGCCTTCAACCGCCCTTTGCCTAAAAGCCTCTGTGAAGGGAAATCTGGTACATGTTACCTGGCTGCGACTGTTCTTCCGATGGGTTTCAAGAATTCTGTGAGCATTGCCCAACATGTACATCGGTATGTTTTGCGGCAGGGCTTGATGAACTCAGGTCGCCTAAATGGAGGGGATCAGGAGTTGAGGCGTGACAAGCCTTTTCCTTCTTCTAGCAACATGTTCCGTATTTATTTGGACAATTTTGACGAGCTCATAAAGGTGAACAAGGACCTAGCCGCCACGGTGAAGGGAGAGTTGACTCCTACTGTGTTAGCCCTTCAGGAGGCGTATGCAAGTTGGAACATCCCAAGGCACCCAAAGAAAGCTGTGGCCCTTCAATCTCAGGCAGAAGTACAGGGAGCTGTGGTTGACGGGGTGCGTGGCGTTGCTTATCCAAAGGTGGAGAAGATCCTGAAGTATGTGGTTTTGGGGCTGAAATTAGCCAGTTCTACCTTTAGCACGCAACGACAAGCTCAGATTGTGGGAGGGGGTTTCGTTTATATGACTATGTTCCGTAGGCCCCTCCTTTCGGCGCTGAACCACATATGGTCTTATATTAAGAGCTTCGAAGGTTTGAGAGACGGATCCGTCCTACGTACTCCTGAGTTGGTCAAGATGGAGATCTTGAGGTTTGTGGGTTTGGTTCCCCTTGCACATTTTGATTTCCGCACAGAGATCCAGGGGATGGTTACAGCCAGTGACGCTTCGTCGACGGGGGGAGGCGTAACCCGGAGCAAGGGCCTGAGCCCGTGGGGAGTTATAGCCTCCCAAAGACCACAGCGAGGTGACCTTCCTGAACCCTTTGATTTTTGCGGGGTGGTGACCATTGGGCTCTTCGATGGCATTGGTGCACTTCGAGTTGCGGCGGAGGCCTCGCGGCTGCCATTGCTGGGTCACATTGCTGTCGAGAAGAACGCAGAGGCCAGGAGGGTTACAGAATCCAGGTATCCTGCCTCCCTTTTGTGGGAGGATGTTACTACGGTGGATGCCGAGGTGGTAAAGGGTTGGGCCACTCGTTTTTCGCAGGCAAGTTTGATCATCGTGGGAGCGGGGCCCCCGTGCCAAGGTGTCAGTGGACTCAACGCTGACCGTAAAGGGGCCCTTAAGGACGAACGGTCGTGCTTGTTCGCTCATGTTCCTAGGATACTGGAACTGGTTAAACAGGCTTTTCCCTGGTGTCAAGTTCGCCTTCTTATGGAGTCAGTTGCTTCAATGGACGACACGGACCGTCTCCTTATGTCAGCATCTGTGGAGCTATCACCCGTTCGAATTGATGCAGCAGGAGTTTCAGTCGCACATCGACCTCGACTTTACTGGTTTGATTGGGAGGTCCCTGACTTGCCAAACGTTCATAGGAAAGACGGAGCCGTGGTTGACATCGAGCTTGACGCCTCTATTGACCCCAGCATTTATTTAGAACCTGGATGGTCCATGAGGGGAACTGAGAAACTACCGACCTTTACCACATCTCGACCTCGAAATTTCCCTGGGCATAGGCCGGCGGGACTCAACAAGTGTTCCCCTGAGGAGCGTCAGAGATGGGAAGACGATTCTTTTCGTTTCCCCCCTTACCAGTACAGGACTTGTTACTGTCTTTTCAACAAGGCTGGCGAGGTTCGTCTGCCCAATGTACGGGAGCGAGAGGCAATGATGGGGTTTCCCATCAACTACACTGAGAGCTGCCTCCCGAAAAGTGGTTCAACTCCCACACAAAAGACTGATACGCGGCTCACGCTCATTGGCAATTCGTGGAACGTGACAGTTATCACTTTTCTTTTGAGCTGCTTGGGATCAGTATTGGGTCTATGCCCGCAATTGACCCCTTCAGACGCAGTGGAGGCTACAAAGCCTGGCACAGGGCGCAACTTTATGGATTTTTTGCAGCGACCCCCCCTATCGTTTTCCCGGAAAAGAGGGTCGAAGGAGGAGGAGCTCACTCTCGCCAAGAAATTCCTCAACCATGTCAGTTTGAAGGGAGAGGATATTTTAGTCCACTCGTCCGCCGAGGAACAGTTGAAGTTTCATAGGTTGCGGGCTAGTATCCCTTCGCAGTGCTGGAGGTGGGTGACTGTTGCTGGGTGGGGTTGGAAAGGAGACCCCGAGCACATTAATTGCCTGGAGCTCCGGGCCATTTTAACCAGTGTCAGGTGGTGGATTGAGAAACGCAAAGTGGCTCGTGCCAAATTTATTCACTTGACGGACAGTTTAGTATGCATGCATTCCCTTGCCCGAGGGCGTACCAGCAGTCGCAAACTTCGCAGAACTTTGACCCGCATCAATTGTCTTCTTTTGGCCTCCCGTTGTTTTCCGGTGTGGGCGTATGTCCACACGTCCCAGAATCCAGCCGACCGACCGAGTCGGCGTAGTGTCCGGAAAAAATGGGTAAAATGAGCCCTAAATGTGTGGAAGGGAGAACCAAAGAAGACAGGGTCAAAATTCGCAAGCGACTTGGAAGTTTGAAACAAATCACAGTTCAACCTGCTACTCGTGTCCGGTATGACCGAGCTTTGAAAGGATTTTTCTCCTTCCTCAAATTTAATGGGAAGGTACTTCCGACTGATCAATCCTTCTTGGATGAGTTGGTCGGCGAATATTTGGAGCATTTATGGGCAAATGGTGAAGGCAGGGCCCTGGGGTCTGATACTTTAGCCGCCATACAAGATGCGCAACCCCAGGTACGAGGCAAGCTCCAGCAAAGCTGGAGGCTCATGAAGACTTGGGTTTCTAATGAAATGCCAAATCGTGCGCCTCCAATTTCCGAAGATATCCTTCACGCGCTAGTTGGTCTCGCGCTTTTCCGGAAGGATCCGCTTTTTGCCCTTTCGCTCCTTGTCGGTTTCTATTCCATGTTGAGGACTGGCGAAATTTTGGGTATAATGAAATCCCATGTTTCTCCGGGAGTTGGATTTACTCCCGCAGTCATTTCACTTGGTCTTACCAAGGCTGGTAAGCGGCAGGGTGCTGCCGAAAGCGTCACCGTGTCAGTCGCGGATGTAGTTCGGCGACTCTCACAGTGGAAGGAGTCCTCGGCGACTCCCGTCAATTTGTGTCCCGCGCCCCATACGTGGCGTCAGAAGTTCGCGCAATATCTCAAGGATCGGCACTTGGACGCTTTTGAATTTCGTCCATACAGTTTAAGGCGCGGTGGGGCAACCTTTTGGTTTCGTAAACATGGGTCTTTGGATAAGATTCTTGTCCAAGGACGTTGGCAGGCGCAGAAGACCGCCCGTATTTACCTCAATGAAGGATTAGCTATTCAGGCTGAAATGAAAACACCCAACCATCCGGATGTGGGGGTGTTCAAAAGCCAGTATCTGGCCGCGGTCAAAGCATCGTTGCCGAAATTTGAGCATGCCAAAGGCAGGACTGGGGGACGTGGAAAGAAGGTCAAAAGTGAGGTCGAGGGGTAATCCGACCCTTTTCAAAACCGCCCTGAGGGATGACGGCGGTTGGAGTTTTAAGGAGTCGAGGGGTAATCCGACTCGAAAGACTCAACCCCCTTTTAGTTTCTGGGCTTGGCCAGACAAAGTGGGGTGGTCTTTAATCAAGGCTGGGGCTGGGGCTTACCTGGGCTTGGCCAGGAAGACCCCGGGGTCTTGAATAACCTAGTGGGAAGAGGTGTTAGTTTTTAATGCAAGTTTCAAGTTTCAATTTTTCAGACAAATCTGGTCTTGCAGCGCGGAAAAAGAGCAAGCCAGAATGAATCTTTGATGTAACGGCCCGGCATGTAAAGATGAATTAGGTTTGCGTTCCGCCAGATTTCGGCTTGCGGGCCACACCCTCCCACCCAGTGGAAGTGAGGTCGAGGGGTAATCCGACCCTTTTCAAAACCGCCCTGAGGGATGACGGCGGTTGGAGTTTTAAGGAGTCGAGGGGTAATCCGACTCGAAAGACTCAACCCCCTTTTAGTTTCTGGGCTTGGCCAGACAAAGTGGGGTGGTCTTTAATCAAGGCTGGGGCTGGGGCTTACCTGGGCTTGGCCAGGAAGACCCCGGGGTCTTGAATAACCTAGTGGGAAGAGGTGTTAGTTTTTAATGCAAGTTTCAAGTTTCAATTTTTCAGACAAATCTGGTCTTGCAGCGTGGAAAAAGAGCAAGCCAGAATGAATCTTTATATATATATATACATATAATCGGGGTGACCGACCAAAAAACCCTACCAATTTCGGAGTGCCCTTCTTTTCCCATTGATTCTTGTATATTGGTTTTCTATGGTGTTCTTGTTTTTTCAGCCAACGTAACCCTTGTGACGGCTCGAGGAATTCGCTGAGCAACTCCCTCAGGCCGCTTGAAGAGAAAACACAAATAGTCATAATGATACTCACTCCCTGAGCAATATGCTGAAGTCATGTTTTGGTGGCAGACAAACAGTTTGGACTTTGTGTTCGGCCAACTCACTCAGGAACTGAAAATAATAATATCAGAAATCAACAGGAAGGTTGGAACTTGGATTCATGATTTGTGTAAGGTTGGGCTGTAGGGTCACTTCTTGTTTATCAAGGGAATGGCCTGCACAAGTGAAAAGACATGGTCATGCAAAACGTGGCCCATATCGGTATCACACGAAAACAGATTCTTCCACAACCATGCTTTCATTTCTCAGAGATTCTGAGCGGACAAAAGAAGGCCCCCTGAAAGGAAGATGATCCAGGGTACTAGTACCTTATTCAGGCCCTTGGCATGTGTGCAAGCATGAGATTCGAAAATTTGCTGCTTGTTTGGTGGCTCCGTGGGTTGGCTCTGTGGTTTAACCAGTGAACCTTTCGGAACTCGTAGTATGTTCATGTCCAAACAACACTTACATGTGAGTCACGTGTTCCGTGCGAGTAGTTCCTACCCAGCCAGATGTCCAAGCCGCATTAGCGCCCGCTTTAGTCCGTGTGGGAATCGAACCACCATCTTTCGGGGGCTGCTTGTTTTTAACATTTTATTTGCCATGCTTGCTGTTGCCTGCATATGTCCATGGAAATTATCAGTGTTCCACCAATCTCCATCACGTTCTTTGTTGTAGGTCGTTCGTTCACAACTTGAGCAGCAATATGAGGTACAATATTACAGGCCAATGGGTCATTATTTGACATTGGGTTTATTTGTTAGATTGAGCGTTCCTCATACAACCACTACCCACCTGAAGGTGGCCTTTATCTCTTTTTCCGTGCCACTGTACACACAGCGCCCGACTTTCACGTCAGGTATCGGGAGCAAGTGCCTCCGGCTTTGACCCGGCCATTTGGCGCAGAGCTACCGCCACTTACCCGAGAAGTGTGTGTTTGTGTGTGGGTTGGTGGGTTGGTTGGTGGGTTGGTGGGTTGGTTGGTGGGTTGGTTGGTTGGTTGGTGGGTTGCCTAGTTGGTGTGTCATGCGTGTGCGTGTTTCAAACTTTGACAGGGGGACCGCAAGGTGGTTTGCCTTTTTGTTTCCCTTGTACCCTCCCGTTCATCGGCCACTGTAAATGGAACAAAGTCTTCTAAAAGGGTTCTCCCCTGCCTTCCCGGGCCGATGTTAAACACCGCATGTTTATGTTTTACTAGGTAAAACACCGAATTTCACGGGTACCTACATCACGCGAATTTCACGGGTAAACACCGCAGTTCACGGGTACACACCGCTTGTTCACGCGAATTTCACGCTGTTTCACACGGCTGCTTTTCTGGCAGAACTGTACAAGGTGTGCAAATACAAGACCATCTCTCATCTACAGGCTGCCTCCATTGGAAGAGTGGCAGCCAAAACACCTACAACATAGACATGCAAACATCTCTTTAAGCAAAGCACCGCACTCGCGAGTAAAACATTTACGTTCCGGAGGTCCTAGTTAAACTTCAACTTTGAAGGCTAGGGGTTCTGGTTGGCCTGGGGGAGGGTAAACCAAGTCTGATCAGGGTACCAACTCGAACAAAACCCGCCTCCATGTGGTTTCCCATGTAATGGTAAATACATCCGTTTACTTGGGGCTGGTACAGACGGTTATGGGCCTCAATATCGGAAAGTAAAATACGGCAAGGGAGCCAGCCGCGGCCGTTGCCGGCATATGTATATGTGGTTGTTTGCTTTGTTTGTTGACATATTTGATTTGTTTGTGTTTGTTTGTTGGCTGGCTGGCTGGTTTGTTGGCTTGTTGGTTTGTTGGTTGGTTGGTTGGTTGGTTGATTCGTTGGTTGGTTGGTTGGCTGCTTGCTTGCTTTCTTGTTTGCTTGCTTGCTTGCTTGCTTGCTTGCTTGCTTGGTTGGTTGGTTTGGTTGGTTGTGTGTTGTTTGTTTGTTGTTTGTTTGTTGTTTGTATGCTTGCATATGTGTTTGTTTGTTTGCTTGCTTGCTTGCTTGGGTTGTGTGTTCGTTGGGTGGCTGCTGGTTTGCTTGCTGGTTGGTTGGTTCGCTTGCTGGTGTATATTTGTTTGTGTATATTTGACGGTATTTTTGTTTGTGTGTGTTGTGTGTTTGCTGGCTGGGTTGTTTGTGTGTGTGTGTGTTATTCTTGTTTGCTTGATTCGTTGTTTGCCCGTGTGTTGGTTTGTTTGTGGGTTTTGTTGCTCGTTTGGTTTTTCGTTTGTCCGTTTGTTTGCTTGTTTGCTTGTTTTGTGTGCATTGCCTGCTTGTTTGTTTTGTTTGTTTGTCTGTTTGTTTATTTGTTGGGCTGGCTGACTGGTTGGCTGATTGGTTGGTTCATGTGTGCGTGTTTGTTTGTTGTTCTTGTTACATTTGGTGGGCTTGTTTGTTGCTGGGTTGCTGGGTTGGTTGGCTGGCTGGTTGGTTGGTGGACTGAATGGTGTTTGTGGTTTTGCTTGTTTGCCTGTGTTCCCAGACCATGCATTTCTATTTGTCAGGTCTTTCAAGTGTTGAACATGTGTCATCACAAGCATGTTTTGGCCACTTTGAAGGATGCGTTTCTTTCCCTCCCAAACTTCCAGGGTCCGTCTCAAGATAAGGCACCTCTTTGGGATTTTGAGAACACCCGCTGGCTCGTAGCACATGCTGGAATTTTGCAAGAAGCAACATGGGGATGGCTTGGTTGGGTATTCCAGATCCTAGCACCCGGCTTCCTGTTGGAGGGAGAAGTCAAAGACTGACGGGTCGTCATTCTGATTGTCCTGTCTATGAACAAGTGCAGTGACCATTGATCCCGTGTGCCGTGAAACAGTTAGTCCTGATAGCAGCAGCTATGGTTTCAATTCGAGGGCAGGTTCCGGGAGAGCAACCCTGGGAATTATTCCTGGGCATGATGCGCTAGCCCGCTGTCCGAACAGAAATTATCCGGCGTGCTTGTTTTTGTTCTCCTGTAGGATTCCCACGATAGTTGGCTTGTTCCCCTCCAATTGTATTGTGATCAGCAAACGGGAATCAAACGATCAATTTCAGACTCTGTTGCCGTTTGTTACCTCATGCCCTATGTCAAGTGGAAGTTATCGTCATTTGGGCAGATACGTGAGTCATTTGCAAGCTACCCCTAATGGCTCCACATGCATCCAAAACATATCCAACTATGATTGAACCAAGGACCCCAAGCTGGGTCCATGTTTTGGGACAGTTAATATCCTCACCCCATATAAGCCCCCAGCCCCACAGCAATGCTTGGTTGACGCGCAAGGACTCGACCGGCGAGGGTTTCGCCACCTCCGGAAGGAGTAGAAAACTCTCAGGCCCGGCATTGTGCATACCAATACCTAGCCGGTGATTCGCCATGTTCCTTTTGATTTTGAAAAGGATCGGATTTCTCATGGATGGAATCGCTGGTCATGTAAACACCCATTGTTTAGACCTTGTCCTTTGGGTTTCCCTTTGGCCAAACCGGGTCCGGCACCGACTATGTAAGATGTTTTCGTTTTCCACGACCCCCCAATGACAAATTTCGGCGGGTGGACGGGATTTATACCCACCATATACCCACCGACTGCATGCCCACTACACACCCACAACATACCCACTACACACCCACAGCATACCCACTACATACTCACTGCATACGGGTAAACGGATAGTGGCTGAGCCCATGCCTCACGGCCAAGAGTTGTTTACTGGTTGCTGCACACTGAACTGCTCGTGACAAGGGTCGCTGTAAGGGAACTGTCTTGTTCTGAGAATTGGCCCCTCAAAGGATGTGGTATGTCACACTATGTCGTTACCTGCATGTAGAAGCCCTGACTGCTCTGGACTTCGTGCGACACCATCTCGGGGGGTTTGCGACACCCATGATGACGGTTCCTTGCAATGCCCATGTCTGAATTTGAGGTTTTATAACTTACCCAGGTGTTTGTGGTCGGAAAGGGCTTGATGTGACATGGCCTCTTTTTTGTTTTGGGGGGGGGACGGGGCATCATCTCTTGCAGGGAACCCATGCTTATTTGTCAATCAAGATGTTTACGCAATCAATCAAAGGGCAGCAACCTCCGTGAATTTGGGGATTCCCTTTTCACTCTGCTCTTAAGGTGTTCGTTTGTTTTTGTGAGGGTGCCCTTTTGCGGGGGTTGGTTTAAAGGGAGGGAAACCACCGAGCGGGTTCCGCTATTTTGGGACAACCCCCTTGGATTGTTCCTGGAGTCTTCTCCAAAGCTCGATATTTCAGGAGAGACTGAATATGGAACGGGTAAACCAGAACAAGGATTAAGCGGAGTGTGAGTGATGATTGGGCGCCCCGGGATTTCGAGCAGGCTTACCACAAGATTTTCTGTGTACCCTTCCCCTCACTAACATGGCACCTGTGGGGAGGCGAAGATAAGTTTCCTCTTGGAGGGACCGGGTCCCTGTCAGGTGCCCTGGCAACGTGGGAGAAAAGAAGACATGCCAAGCAAACTGCCAAGGCTTCACATCAGCAAAAGTCTGGCGTGAGCGAATCATCCTGCCGGAACCCGCCTAGGTGGACCCGGAATCCACCAGCTCGGCGCCTTCAGATAGGGGCTCTAGGCTGAAGCTTCTGAAGGAGAAGCTTCTGAAGGAGATGCAGCCGGGCACCGTCTTCGACGAGCTCCTCAATCCCAGCCAGCTGTTCATTTCTTTTAAAGACAAATAACTATTTGTGTAAAGCAAAAAACAATATATATTAGAAGCGGGATGAACATTCCTTATGAAAATCCCCACAAATGAGTTGGGTTATTAGGCTTCCACCGTTTTGCAGGTGTCTATTTGTTTCTAATTGGGAGCCACCGTACAAATGGTTGGGAATGAATCCCGAAGGAAATGATGTCCACGAGATCACGTCTGAAAATCTCACCCATGAGCTGTAGGAGGCTGGTCATTTGGCACGTGCCAAATAAGCGGTGAGAATATTTGTTCCGCGCGAGCAGCAATATCTAGCTTAAGCGCCCCTGTCGGTGAAGGCAGAAGCCGGCTACTGTTAAGTTTGTGGACGAAGAAAGGAGCAGCTTTCTACAGTTCTGGCCAGGGGGGGGCGGCCCTTTTTGGTATCCCCCAAGCCATTTGCAAGGCGGCACAGGTGTCCATACAGTAAGGGGGATGATGTGAGAGAGTGTCCCTTACTTCGGGAGTGGGGGATAATTCACTGACATGGTTGTGGGTCAAAACCAATGGCACCATTTTGGGGTAGGTGCACCACCCATTTTAGTCTATTTTAGTTGGGATTGGGATGTTCACTGGGGGTTCGGGATTTTGACCTATGGCCACGTGTCCATGTCAGTCGGCAACAAGAATATCCAGCGTGGCTCAATGGCACACCTCGCTGATATTGTTTTCATGCGTGCCCAGGTCAAAAACCTTTGCTTGGGCTTGTTAGGGATGGTCATGGCGTTTCTTCTTTTTTTTCTTCTGCATCTTGGCAGCTTGGTGGCACCTCTAGGCTTCCTTCCCCACAACAAATGATGCACCCCTAAAGTGTCTTCTTTCACCAGGGTCACCGGGCATTTGTTCCCTGGGGCAGGTTTGGGGATACAGTGCCCCCCAGACCCGGGTTTTGCGCCAGTCTCTCCCACAAATGTGTTACTAACCTCAAAGGCCCAGAGGAAACACTGGTAGCGCCATACAACTTGTCCAGCGGAAAGAGGATCCATTGCCTGAGGGCCGAAACCCTCGAAAACGGCAGCAAGTGCTTTTCCCGCATGTAAAGACTCGCCGCATGTTTCGGGGACTTGGGAACTTGCCACCGGTTGCCTGGCTGTACATTCGCGAGGTTCCACGCGCCGGGGGACCCGTCGCGAGTGTGGTGGCAACATTGTCGCACTTAGCCTACCTTTTTGACTTTTGCATTTTTGTTTTCCTTCAAGTTCGCTTACCAGCAAGAACGATAAGTTTTTTGCAGGGGGTGTAAGTCTGGCTGAGGCAAGACTGTACAACCAACTTTACATACCGCCAGCGGCCAGGGGCCCCTGCGGTAATTTTTGTGGTGGGGCCTCCAGGTGAAGAATTCGAGAAGTGCAAGTTTTGACCGGGTGGAATGTCGCCTGTGTGGAATAGATCTGGCAACATGATCTATCGGACACGGCGAGCGAAATAGCGCTGAGCACAGCAATGCGCCTTGATCATGTTCGAATGGACATGTGGCACCACAGGTGTCTTTTTTGGTCGTTTCAGTTTCCAGTTTGCTTCGCATCGTTTGCCAGTGGTCGTCGGTTTTTCCAAAACCAAAAGGACACCTTAGGAGTCCCAGTGGCGCACGCCACGTTTGAGCGACACTGCGGGAATTTGCAGGTGCTGAGCACCTGGCTTCGCTTGCATCGCGGGCGTGAGCGAGAGTCCGACAGCCAAAATGCTTGACTGGGGGTGCTCAACATACACGTCAACGGGAGGGGCCGGGGGGGGCTCGGGGCCGAAATGTCCACCAAGATCATGGGGCAGCCAAGTAATTTGAGGTACCTGTCATTCTCAGCCAACATGGAAGCAGCTCTTGCGATTGCTTGCGTGATTTTGGGTAGAATTTACTCGTGTTGACAAGCGGGTGAGGATTCCCTTTGCATCGGGACACACTTCTATAGCTTGGATCCTGGTTTCCCCATTCTAACCAAGGAGTTTTCGAAGGCTCCGCCACACCCCAGGAAGCATGCTTAGATTGTTAGGGCTCGTGATCGATGGGCTATCGATGGGCTCTGAGAAGCTCCTTTCCTTCCAGAGAGACACAAGGACCCACGGACACGAGGAATCAGAATTCACTGTGCAGAGGCCCTTCAGTTTTTCCGGACGTGCCGGGATCCTGACGCTTATCAATAACGCCCGCCATATCTTGTGCCAGTCAGACTCCCGAGTGTGCAAAATATGTGTCGAGCTCAGGAACCAGCAGTTCAAGTCGGCCGGTGCCTTAGATTGAGGCTTAGAGGTTGGTTCACACCGGGACCTCTCGCCCAGGAGACAATAGATCCTTATAGAATCAGTGCCCCTAGTTTTCAATGCCCCCATGTTTGCTCTGGGAAAACATATTTTGACATTGGGTCCAGGAATCGCATTTTTTCTGCAGAGAAATGGCTTTTACTACAACATTTCAACAGAGGCAGTGCTGAAAGCCTAATAAGGGCTGTCATAAGTCGAGTTCTGGTTTAGCATAATGGGCCAATTAACAGTAAGGGGCCAACTGCATATTATATATATACAATTATGTATATATATATATACATATGTTGTGGCCGTCTCCGACCCCTAGGGAGCGCGTTTCGCGCCACTGCAATGGGATTTATTGCGAAAAGCCAGTCGTTTCCCTGTCCCACGCCTTGTTTTACTGCATCCGCAATTTGTGAGCAAGGCTCAAGCTTGAGCCCACGGATCTTCCAGCCAAGTGCTGCCGACTTTGCCTCTTTCATCTATGCTCTGGTGGCAAGATTCTCGTCTACACTTTAACGTCGCGACCCGTGCTTCTTGTGCCTGCCGGGCTGATCGTTCCAGTTCTTGTGCACAGACTTCTTGAAAGGGCCGGCATCGTGGTATCTGAGGTTGCCCGAGACTTCTCTGATTTCAACTCCAGGCTTGGCATCAGAAGCGCTTGGGCGCTGCCCTGGAGCCAAAACCGTCTGGGAGAGGTCAAGGTCTTCCGACGGTATTCCGTCTGAACTTCCGTCTCTCCCGAGCTTTCATGGACGCATTGGTTCCCTGTTTCGGGGTGAGGCAAGAGGCCGCGGTGGTTCCAAGAGGATGGACACCCCTACATATATATATATATATATGCTACCCCCCCTTGAAATACTCAGGCTTTTGGCCAGAACTGAGGTTTTTGGCAAGACCGGGGGTGACAAATGCCTTGAGAGTCTGAAATGAACTGACTGGACGCTCAACTGCATGCAAATTCCAACCAAGCAGAAGCTAAGCTCAACGTTGAATAAGAGTTGCGAGTTGTGTGACCGTCACGTTGGCGTGCGCGAAGTGCACTTAAAGTCACATTGGAATATGCGAAGTGCACTTTGGCAGCTCCAGCTCAAAAATCTGTCCAGTACAAGAGTAGCGCGCGAAGTATGTTTTGGCAGCCTCAACGCGCCTGTAGCAGCTCTACTACGTTGTGTTTGTTATTTTTGTTTGGCAGCGAAATTCACCAACTCATCAACTTGGGGAAAAAAGAACTCATTCCTACTTCATGTCCTTGCGCAGTTGCTTTTACATGCTAACTCGAGTGTTGTGCATAATTCCATGTACATGCTAGCTCAGTCTATTTGAAACAGATGTTGCAAAGCAACTATCCCATGTGCGTGTGTTGCTTGTCTAAGTTGGTTCAACCACCGCCAAGAACAACTATTGAACTTCAAGTAAGGGAAGGATACCCAGTTTAAAACGCATTCGAGTTCAAACCAAATTCAAGTTTACTCGTTTGCAGTTTCTTGTTCATTTCAACAATCGACTGGAGAAGATGGCCAAATGAATTTGGAATCAAACTCAAGTTTGAAGTTTTATTGTCCTTATCGAACTCCATGTGGTTTGAGCCAAGCAAGAACTGAGCCAAGCCAATGACAGGCACGTGTTTTCAACCATAGATTTTATTATTGGCGTACATGCTGTAAAACGCTGTGTGTTTTAGCATGTGCTCAGATCGCGTTGCCCTGGATCGAAGATCGAAAAACCAAGATTCCCTCAACATGTGTTTAGAACATCCTCAATGCTGGTCCCCAAAAAACTTGACAGTTTGTTCTAGACTCATTAAGGTTTTGCCCCCTGCATTGAAGATTGAAGATCTACCAGGTTTTCTTTTTGAGCTTCCATCCTGGCCAGCCCTCAAGTCCACAAAACCTGTAAAGGTGTCAACAACATTTTCCCCCCTGGCCAAGTGCAGGCAGTGCAAGTGCACATCCACAATTTGATTCTGACAACGTGCACTCCCGGTCTGCCTTTTGGATTCTTCAAATCCGCATTTAGGGCAATCCAGGATCTGGATTGAAGATTGAAGATTCTACGACAGCTCTGGGATGTTCATGCATTTTTGCAGCCAAAATGTCAATTTCTGGCCAAAAACCTGATTATTCCAGGGGGGGTACCATATATATATATATATATAGTCAGTACTTGTAGGGAAAGAAGTTGCTGACAGCCCTTTTCTAGCTGCTGTGTATTGTTCCATACCTAGTTTTCCTCTCTTGGGGCTTGGTTGAGTGGAAGCCCTCTTGCAGCCCCTGTAAAACTGCAAAGCCGTCTTGAAACTCCTTTCAAAGGGAGATCAACGGCTCACGGCAAGACCTGTTTCAGTCGCAGCATTATTGATGATTCCAGAGGCCTCGACAATTCGTCAAGAGGGGCCGGCTGGCTTTGATATACAGCTTGAGCAGCACCCAGGCTTCCGTTGTCTATTTAGTAGAATCTACTGCCCTGGTTGTGAGCGCTGTATGAAGCTCTTCACGAATACCCAGATTGCTCGAAGCCAAAGCCGATGCCTCTTCCAATGCGTTTGCGATGTTGTTACGTTGTCTTTTGTCTCCAAGCCCTTTGTTCCTATTGAGTTGCATGCACCAAGCAAAGACCCAACACTATGATCTTATTTTGGGGGAAACTGGGAGCGGGGTTTATAGCCATCGCTCAAGTCCATCTTGGGTAGCCTCGACTCGACCGGCGTCCGAGCGTCCGAGGCGGGCTTCGAGCCCAGCCTGAACTACTGGAATGCCATCTTTGACTTTACGGGCAAGGCCGACCACGCCAACTGGAAGGCGCGCGGGCGATTTGGGTCTTCAATAGGTGGCCCCTTGAAAACCTGGCAGATGATGGGTGCTTCCAACACAAGTGAAGGACAAGGAGGCGTGTTCTTGGAAAGCGAAGAATCTCTTCTAATAGAGGGGACGCCCGTTTTCCAATCAATCGGGGCTTGATCGACCCTGATTTCGCAACACATTTACTGAGTTGCAGGGCCGTTGCAGGGCTTTTTAAATGCGGCCCACGTGACAGGATCCCATAGCTAAGCCTTTGTTGGACCGCCAAGTTGCCATTCCGATAAAGTATGGCACCCTCCTTCCAGCAATCGTGGAGGCTGACACGATTTTGGAAGACGATGTTCTGGGGTTCGGACCCGGAACCCACTCCCATCATAGTTGGAAAGAGGGTGTGTCAAAGTCGGGGGAGGAACGCCTTGTTTGATCACTGTCAAAGCACACCGACATAAAGACACAAGCCAAATATGTAAACATTAGATATATGGACTGGAATGAAAGTTGCACGAGTTGATGTGCTTGTCTTTGGAATCCTTTCCAGTTTGGGGTTTGTCAGCTACGTTCCCAGAAACATGGGTATCTACCCTTATACAATTATATTTTTGGGCCACTGTATACTAGCGGGGTTCAAGTTCAAAACTGCCTGCTGCTCAGATCCAGCCGCTCAGCGAGTGTGAGCAGCTGATCGTGTCCTTCGAGGGCGTCTTGGCGACGTGACTGTTTTCCTTTCTCTGGTGTTGGTTCCGTTCAACCTCCAACAGCTCATACAGGGCATCCTTTCCCGCCTACGGCTACGGAAATCCAAATCAACTACTCCCCCAAGGAGATGTCCCTTTTTCCTGTTTGAATATTCACCAACCTCCAACAAAACGCCCCTTTTTCTCCCTGAACTCTGCAAAACGGGTTGTTCCTCGGGAAATCTGGAGGTGGGATTCGGAATCCGGACCAGGGGTTGGCAGGGAGATCCGAAGTCGGTGTCTCTACAGACTTGCCAAACACTCACTACTCCTGGCTTTCCCAGAGTGTCCTCTGACCGGTTCTGAGTTTGTCCCAAAGTACGGGATCCCTGGAGGATCGCTTCTCCGTTTCTCTTTTCTTACCAAACATAGTTCCCCCTCGAAGAAGAGATGCCCTATCCTACGGCTGTCAAAGGGTTCACGGGGCTGTTTTCAGCGCCGCAAAACTGATTCCTATTGGGCCATGCTAGTGTTCACTTCCTACGGTTGAAGTAAAGCCTTTATAAACCTTCATCATGTTAGGAACGCCAAGCGGGTCAATGGGCTTCGGACGCTCACGTGGAAGTGACTATGTCTCTCTTGGGGAATCCCCTTGTGTCTTGGTTTCAAAGCGAAACCAACAAGAATTCGCTCATCTTGCAGGCTGTACCCAAGTTTGAAGCATCCATCCGCGAACATGTTCTACGTTTCCTGGCCAGAAAGCCCAGAAACAACTTGTCGCAATACTAAACTAAA